TATATATAAATATATATATATATATATATATATATATATATATATATATATATATATATATATATATATATATATGTCGTACCTAGTAGCCAGAACGCACTTCTCAGCCTACTATGCAAGGCCCGATTGCCTAATAAGCCAAGTTTTCATGAATTAATTGTTTTTAGACTACCTAACCTACCTAACCTAACCTAACCTAACTTTTCTGCTACCTAACCTAACCTTACCTATAAAGATAGGTTAGGTTAGGTTAGGTAGGGTTGGTTAGGTTTGGTCATATATCTACGTTAATTTTAACTCCAATAAAAAAAAATTGACCTCATACATAATGAAATGGGTAGCTTTATCATTTCATAAGAAAAAAATTAGAGAAAAAATATTACTTCAGTAAAACTTGGCTTATTAGGCAAATCTGGCCTTGCATAGTAGGCTGAGAAGTGCGTTCTGGCTGCTAGGTACGACATATATTATATATATATATATATATATATATATATATATATATATATATATATATATATATATATATATATATATATATATAAGCATCAGGGCTTAGCTGAAAGTGGATTTCTCCTAAACTCATTTTCGTTATTTCAAGGTGAAGAAAAAAGTTAATTACTATAGAATGTTTTACACTTATTTATACAATTTGCACAACGTTTCGAACCTCCATGGTTCATTCTCAAGTGAAATGAAATTACAGGACTCGTTGATTTATTCCCATACGGGGTCAGGTGATAAGACAAGTACAATAAAGGTAAAAACAAAGGGGATACATAGGGGATAAATGGGGGACGAAGCACATAATAACATAAGAATAAAGGTAACTGCAGAAGGCCCTTGTGGGACATTTGGGGCTTGACTATATTTATTTAAATAGTAATGTAATGAAAATCATTTACGAAGGACCACCCGCTTTTATAGTAAAGAGGGAAACTAAGAAAATATGATCATTAGAAAATTCCTAGATGAACCAGTAACTATGGATAAAATACTAGAGAATATGATCACTGAAATAATTAATGGGCTGTATAATTAAATGAATCAAAGCCTCAAACACCTACATTGGGGGGGTATTACTGGAACTCAATACGTCCAGGAACTAGTGTGGTTCGTTCACCAGTCCAATGTATAATAATCTAATCCTATGAACATTTATAAAGTCATTATCTTTATCATCAATGAGAACATAGATTAAGAACATGAATAATAATAATCATAATAAACACATGTTAATCCAATGAAAAGAGTTCTGCATGTAAAAGAGTACAGATAATAGAAATCGAGGAATACAAAAGAAATCTTAGCTTAAAGACGATTTCCAAGAAGTTAGTCACGACTCATCCTCTGATTCTCCTGGACTCGTCATGGAACACTGGGAGTTGATTAACATGGGAAATGACAGAAATGAAATGACAGCTCGGAGAATTCTTCACACACGCTGTAAATCAAATTGTTTTCAGTAGCAACAGATTAAGCTACTAGATATCTATGTTCATGAAATTGGTATGAATAATAAGAAGAGATAATGACCTGTAGTTTTTTGTGGTCGCACGGCGTCACGACAAGCTACCCAGGTATAAACCCACCCCCTATATGATGCATCAAATAAGGATGAAGTTACTTAGCTAATATGGGCACTGTGTAAGTTAAGGCTTGGCGAAATTCGCGTCCTAGGTTCCGGTCTAGCCTATCCTAGATACTGACGCGCTTCACTGGCCGGTCACGTGGTATTACATAGAACCAAATTTAACAGGTTCTGGCCGAATATCAAATTAATCTCTTGACCATTCGACTGTTTATGTAAATGACACTGACACCAGTGAAGTTAAGGTTCTGCTAGGTTCTTCACACCTCACAGTGGCGACTTTCTACTAGAGATCTTGATGGCGTTTACCCTGGTGGCTGGGTAATGGCGTCTCCTCGTGAGCACGTTGCTTCGTGTACGCGTCTGCTCGTGAACGCGTCACCTCGTGCACTGGCGTCTCCTCCGCCCCGCTCCGCGTCCCGCGTTTGTTACTCAAATTATTTATTGTGAATATTATCATTTCTCGCAGTTGTGATTGGAATGCTCGGGTTAGGACGGGTTTATTATTTAGAGGAGGTAAATATTATTATTTGCCCGTTTTATGATAGTAAACGAACAATGGAGATGAATTAAAGTCTCTCCAGGGCATTCACGCGTGACGTTAAATTTACTACTAGATAACAGTTATAACTATAAACGCTCTATTTGGCTTTAGTTGGAGATCAGTTTATCTGTAATTAATTATCACACAGAACACCGTTGTTTATAGAGAATCAAATTCAATTCTCAGACACATTGGATATAAATGTGTTTATTACAATGGAATCTGACGCAATACTGGCGTCGGGTGACGTAAGAATTCTAGCCTTATTGTACAGATGTGATTATTAGTACATGTGAACTCTACGTTGGGTTAATTTTATCACTACAATGATTAGTAGAATTAGTAATAATTGATGAGAATACAACAGTGTTGTATTTAGTGTTGGAAATTTCCAACAGCCCTTTGGCCCATATGAGGCAGCTCCTATTATACAAAGATTAATCAGGTGTAATTGGCCTGTTATGTTGAACAGTGTCTTCTGTGTTGGCATCGTCTTGCCCTTACTCTCATGGTGAGTAGAGTAAATAGTTCCGTGATTTGGGTGTTCATGATAGGTTGTTCTATTATTATGTGAATTGCTTCAAGAATTTGTAATCTTCTTGCATCTTGGGTTTTGTCTATTATACAGGTATTTTTGTTAAATTTTTGTAAATTATTCTTAAATTAGACCTGATTGCATTATTAGTGAACATATTATTATGTGTTCACTGCCTTCCCCTCTCCGCCATCTGGCCTCTAAACTCGAACAGACAGATATTTACATTTGTATATTTACAGAAGGGGTACCCAGCTGCACACGGGGGGTTTCCACCTTTTCTACCTCTTTCCTTACTTCCTCCCCTCTCGCCCCCCTCCTCTTGGTTCCCCACTTAGTCAAGCCTCTCTGGTCTTTACCCCTACTTCCCCCCTTCTTCCACCCCACTTCCATCCTCTTTCACCCCACTTCCCCCTCTTCCACCCACTTCCCCCCTTCCATCCACTTCCCCCTCTTCCACCCACTTCCCCCCTTCCACCCACTTCCCCCTCTTCCACCCACGTCCCCCTCTTCCACCCACTCCCCCCCCTCTTCCACCCACTTCCCCCTCTTCTTGAGGGCTAGAAAAAGCCCTCAACCTTTCTCTCAGTGACCCACAGTGGAAACAGGCCTCCCTTCCTGTCAGACTCGGGGACCTCGGCGTTCGCACAGCAACACGAATTGCTGTAACAGCGTTCCTATCCTCTTCAGTGGCATCTGACAACCTGGTGAAAGAAATCCTACCTGAATACTTAGTTCAACCGGCAGGGGTACATGATCCCAGCTTTACAGACTGCACCACCAAATGGGTCTCTCTCGCAGGACCAGCACCCCAACCACTGCTTTCTGAAGCCCATAAGCAATCCAACTGGGATCGCCCCATTGCCGAACAAGAAGCTGCTACATTGCTAGAAGCTGCAACAACACCACATGACACTGCCCGATTAAGAGCTGTAGCAGCTCCCCATGCAGGTGACTTCCTATTAGCAACCCCAATGTCAGCAACTGGCACGCGTCTCACACTGCAGGGCCTCCGAATTGCTGTGGCTCTCCGTCTTGCTGCCCCAATTCACTCCGAATATAGGTGTATTTGAGGCGAGTCAGTTGATGACAGGTTCGGACAGCATGGCATTCTCTGCCAACGGACAGGATGACATGCAAGACACGGCGAGGTTAACGACATTATCAAGAGAAGCCTTACCACACCCGGTTGTCCAGCAGAGAGAGAGAGAGAGAGAGAGAGCCCCGTTACCTAATGCCCCGCAATTCTGATGAGCCTGTCGGTAGCCCAGACGGGATCACGGTGAAACCCAGGAAGAATGGTAGACAGTTGGTGTGGGACTACACTTGCGTTTCAACTTTAGCCAACACCTATGTTAACTTTAGTGCTGCATAGGCATGAGGTGCTGCCAATCACCGGGAAGTAGCCAAGTCGCGTAAATACAGAGATCTTGATCACCACTACAATTTTGTCCCCATTCCCTCAGAGACACTTGGTGCCTGGAGTAAAAATGCTGCTAGTTTTTTTAAGGAGCTGAGTTCCAAGCTAATTGAAACAACTAGAGACCCTAGAGCTGTTAGTTTCCTCTTTCAGCTCCTTAGTGTGGCGATCCAGAGAGGAAATGCTCACTGCATCCATGGTTCCTGCCCGCCATCTGAGGAGCTGGAGGAACTCTACAACCTGTGGCGAGTAGCCTTGTACCCGGCATGTAACCAATGTTGTAACCCCTTTTTGTGTAATGAAATTTTAAATAAACTGAGTTATATATATATATATATATATATATATATATATATATATATATATATATATATATATATATATATATATATATATATATATATATATATATATATATATATATATATATATATATATATATTGTTAAAAAAAATATATATATATATAATATATATTGTTAAAAATATTTCATTATTTTCAGTAGTTTGAGTTTCCTTCCCCTTCCCCAATGCCTGCCTGAGTAATACCATGCAGACTGTTGAGCGCGGGCTGTAGTCCTGTTCTACAAACATGGAGGCGGCCTTTAGTATTACTGTCCATCACACTGGAGGTCCAAGTAGATTGACAGAAAAATATTTTTCATTGCTATTTTTGAAAGGCTAATTGACTGTTGATTTTGACGATAAGCTGTTTGAAGTTGAAACATTTGTGGAAGATGAATTCATCGGTAGTTAGACGGTCCAGGTATCAGCAAGACATATGATATCTGATTATCCAAGGTGATAAGGATTGTAAGGAATAAGAGAGTTCTCTACACAGGGATTTGTAGCGTTGCCTACACAATTCGGAGATCTCTACATTGAGCATTGGATAAAAATACTTAACTACAGTTGTTGTACAGAGCTTTATTTTCATGTTTGAAAGAATAACAGTCCATCGAAAATGCAATCATTTATGCACAGATGTGCAAATATGCAATATAAATAGTCAAGGCCTTGTGTGTTAATTGGTGAAACTAAAGAGACAAAGAATTTTCATTGTAATGTAAATTCACTAACATCACTGTTGTTTGGGCAGCAATTACTGATGGGTGATTTTGACTAGGATTTGTTTGAAGTTAGAAAGACTTTGGAAGATGCGTTCATCGTCAACACGACGATCCAGGGGGTAGCCGTGTGGTTGATTGTCGGGATACACTCCTCGGTAGCCATAGTGGTTGAATTTGGTGTTTGTGTGTAGATCATCTACAGCAGCGTCAGCCTTTCCGTCGGTCACAGCCACCACCAGGTCGAACTCCATACCATTAGAATTACCCTTGGGCAGCAGGAACCTGTTGGGCAGTCCAAGGGCACTCTCATACTGACGAAGGTTGAGCTCGCTGCCTGAGGCGAGCGCCTCGTTAGCCTTCTGTATCAGGGTCTGGAAACTGGGCACGTCGGGGACTGTCACTGACGAGTCCTTAGACTTGCGCACGATGTGGTTCACTCCAGCACTCACTGTTGGCAAAAATATAACATGTGATTGGAAGTTCTTCGTTAACTGGTTGTGAAGAAGTTATATACGAGTGTTACAGAAACAATTATAAAAATTAGTAATCTAAGAACTTGATCACTTATCGTTTAAATGATCTACAATTTTAACAGCATGTGTAAAAGCAACTCAAAATTCTGTTCATATTTTTTTTTCAGGTATAGAAATAGCATTCACTGGAAAAGAAAAGGCGTATTGTGTGTCAGAGTATGCTCGAACACAGTCGAACAAGACTGTTCAGGGTGTATTTCGCTAACAATGCACAAACTAAAATGCAGATTTGGACATGGCACAAAACGTTTAAAGAGGATCGCTGACTGTGCAGTTCAAAGGGATCTGCAGGACCACTAGTACCAGAAGAGAAAGTCTAGAGGTTCGGGAAACAGTTTTGCGAAGCCCCAGGAAATTTATAAGAAGATGAAGTCTGAGGAAGAAGAGGAAATCATGTTTTTTTCTCTGTCTGGGCTATGTGAAGGGACTGGTCTATATCCTCCCCTCTTCCTACAAGCCTGGGGAAACTCCAGCAGAGAGTCACTGTCGGACTGGAGACCATTACCCAAGACAGGCTGTTGGGAGGGTGACAGGAGCGGGACTACAGGCGTGGGCCGGGTCACAGGCGTACGCGTATTGGAAACCTGTGAAATCGCTCATAAAAACCTTATGCCTCTGAATTTCTGATTCAGATTTTGATGACTAAGTCTTATTTTCCTGAAACATTTAGCCTTTATACTTTCATTTGCCACTAAGAACTCTAAATGATGACCCGACCAGGATTCGAAACCATGACGTTTAAGATCACCTCCAAACGCTCACATTATGTTGACTACCCAATCAATGATGCGGTATTCATCATTGATGTCTATCAATGGTGCGGTGGTCACGGTACTGTGTACGTTTCTGGGTGATCCTAGACGTCTTGGGCTCGAATCCTCGTCAGGTGATTTAGGGTTTTTAGTGATTTATGGCTTTATATATATATATATATATATATATATATATATATATATATATATATATATATATATATATATATATATATATATATATATATATATATATATATAAGACAGGCTACAGGAAAACTGAACGAAAGGCCACTTACGTTTGGTCCAGAACCTGTCCAGCTCGATGGCTCTCCAGCGTCCCTCGTCGAATGGGAAGACAATACCATTGTTGTCACGGTGGGGCCAGGCGAAGATGCGCACTGTTGCCAGAACTTCTTCTTCATGATTGTTGGTGACGTCAATATTGAAGGAAAAGTCCTTGTGGTTTAGACGAGACACGACGGTTGATATATCGACGTCTTCTATTCCGGGAGCATCATCCACAGCAGTGAGAAGGCTGTATTCAAAATCTTCAAAGAACGTTTCTAATTTCCCGTCAATGGCAAAGTTGTCAACGGCCACACCACTGAACTCTAATTGTTCCTTAGTATATGGTGCAAAGCTGTCAATATGTTCTCTGAACATGTTATCCATGTATTTGTGGAACCTGAAGAAGCTGGGGTCGCGGGTGGCAGTTTCAAAGTGTTCCAGGACACCTGGGGGAAGGTCATACTTTCCATGAGGGTCTCCCTGGCGACCTATAATTATGTGAGCAAGGTTGTGGATCGAACCGTAATATGCGAAGTTTGGACTGTATTCAGATGCTTCAATGAGATCACCTAGGATTTCAACTCCGCGGCTGTTCTTAATATCTATTTTGGTACCATCCTTGGCAATGACATACCCATGAGCAATGGCATCAAAGATACGGCTCTCAGATAGAACCAAATCGCGAACACGAGTAATGCCCTCCACATCTTCATAGTTCACATTATCTGGACGAGATGGGAAGTTGCCTCCATATTTATAAGTCGTATGAGGAGAAAACCCTTCTTTGAGAGGTTTATCCCAATGAAGCTCGTCCACGGGACTCAAGTAGTTGGAAAGACGCTCTGCGTCGAAGCGGACTGTAAGCTGATGATGTACCCAGAAGAAGTTCTCACCCTTGCGAGCTATGTGGTGACCTTCGTGAGCATCGTTCCACCAAAAGGGGAAGTTCAAATGCCAAGTGACGTGGTGGGTGTTCAGGCCAATGTCTTCACCGAAGTAGGCCACACGCTGCTCTGGGTTCCTTTTGCTGCCAGAATATTCTGACCTGAATTTTCCTGGTGTTTGGGTCATCTTGGCATGGTAGGCTTCCTGGATAATTTCACTGTTAGTGAACAAATGTGGAGTGACTTCATAAGGTGGTGGAAGAACAACGTCATGAGTGAGTGGAGAGTGGGTCACTGCAGCATACAAAGCATACACAAACTCTCCTTCATTAACGTAATGTCGAAAATAAGCAGCATTGCCGACGAATGTGTTCCAGTCCGTGCTGTGTTCCAGGACATCATAGAGCCAAAGGGCTTCTTCACGTTGTCGATTATTGAAGAGGGAGAACCAGTGTTTCTGTTCCAGAAGTCTCCCTTCCTTCAGTTCTTTCACCAGCTTGTGAGCAGCGGCGCCATCGTCACTGTAGTGAGATGTGTCGGCCTCAGGGTCGAAGACCTCCCCGAGCTGCTTCAGGTTGTCATCTTGAACGTCTTCATAAACCTTCCACAGCAGATAATTTACGTCGTGCTGTTTCTGTGCGGTAGATGCTCCTGGGGGAAAAAAATTACATTTTGTTAAATAGAAACCTTCAACATTTAGTCAGCTATAATTTTTCCATTTTTAATGATATTACATGACTTAAACGATGAAGCATTTTTAAATAATTCGCATTATTATTTATTTAATATATGCGAATTAATATATTAATTTTCCCAGACGAACACGATTTCAAGAAGGAGAAATAGTATTGATCTACTTTAGCTCTTCATTTCATCATGTGAAACCCTCTATCGAAAAGTTATAGAATTCTAATATTAGTTGGATATTAATTAAGGATGCCATTAACATCATTGTTTCGGTGTCGACACCATCGTCGGAGTGAAGAGTGGCAATTTCAGCGCCATCTATGGATCTGCACTCCAACTCCCCTAGTATTGGGTCCTATGTAGACAACTCGATCTGTTGGTGGTGGCGTGGTATCAGCAAATGGCTCTGGTTTCCGGCCTCATTCAGAATGTGGGGTCGATGATGATGACCTCTGGTGGGTGGCGTATCACGATCAGCGCCATCTAGGTTGTGGCTATAATGCATAATGTCAATTCCCCAGTGAACGAGTGTTGTCCCAGGGTTACCTAGTGTACTGTCCATCTGGCTAAAGCGTTTTTATGTCCACAGGGGTGACATATAGAGGCGATTGAGCTGAGGAGGGAAGTTCACCTTGGGCAGTCCATGAACTCTTAGCTTGGTCTTGAGAGAGGATTAAGTAGCCGCCATCGATTCGAGCAGTGTGTGTGAGCTGCTGATATACGCAGTGTTTTTGAAGATCGACATACCTGGGATTGGCTCCTAAGAGTTAAGGAAAACCGTGATGTGTCTATTTGTGACGTGCTGCTAGGAAGCTGCTAGAGGCTTCTACCAGGGTGTTCGCTACCGCTGTATATAATTGTTTGAGACCCCTGTCAGCGTGTTGCTGAAGCCCTCTGCCAGTGAGTATCTGGAGAGCGAAGGAGGGGTGTAGCCACATCGTGATACGGTGTTGGTGGACTGGCCCATGTAGAAGGTGAACACGCCAGTGTTCGCCAGTGGCAACTGAAAGCTCGACACCCCAGAAGGATTCGAACCCAGACAGCCAGAAGCACTATACACCTTGGCATACCTGGTATCTTAACCACTCGACCACCCTGACCATGCAAAAGTCATTGGTAGCAGAAGCTATATCCCAGACGGCCCTTGGTGGTAAGCTTGGGATGCCCAAGCAAACCACTGAGACTGACCCCTTGGGGCCCACCACATGGTACACTTAATGGGTCTTGAGACTGATCTTCATATTTTTACCCCACAAGTCCTACTTACTCTGGATAACATGTTGGAGGATTTTATTCATGAACAAATTCTGTAGATTTGGTTCAGCGTTGACTTAGGGAGACGATTTCCATGAATAACAAATAAATCACACATAACTTATCTGAACAAAATATTTGTTTCTGTCTACGACGATGAAAACTAAATAATAGTAATAATAATAATAATTTGGAAATTTAGAGCAATGCATGACAATAGAGGAGCTGACTCATAAACTGAAGCTTTTTTTCTAATCCCGTATTTGGAGTTTATAATTTTTCATAACCTGTTTAATGCCTTTCAATCATGTATTATTTTTTCTCTTAACACGGTTTGATCACTTTATAGTAGCTGAGTTCTTATTATAAGTCGATAATTAACACACATTCTTTATTTACATTCAAAACAATTAGTGCAACTTTGTTGACTCGCATACAAATATTAGGTTACCGAGATCTTATGTGCAGTAATGACAAGTTCACTGTTCTAACACACCTACTTAGTGTAAATTCATTGATTGTTAAATTCCAAGTTTAGTGGTTTCAGTCCAGAATATTGTGATGTTATCGTGCAATAATTATAAGTTTAAGGGTCTTGCACCTACAATTTCTCCCTTCCTTTAATACTCTCATTTAGAGTTTTATTTGTCGATGATATGTATAGCTGTGTAAGTTTGTGCTAATCACAAATGTTTATAAATATAAGATTCTGTGCCAGAGTTAGGATGTTCCTGCCACATTCTGACGCTTTCAACACTCATGCTATTATTGGCTATTATTATTATAACATTGGCTGGGTATTGTAACCATTATTGCCATATGACGACATGTGAATCTTTCGTAATTCAAATAATGTCTTTCGACCCATCTGTGGAATATTGTCATTGGCAAGTAAATATATTCGCCGTCATACAAAACAATGCATGTCCATATGGACTATAGAGCTACGAGGGGACTGACAGACACTGTTGCTGGCTGGGGTATACTCACCACCTGCACCGTCGTTCTGGAAGCCCAGGTAGGGCCAGGCGGCGACAGCGGCCACGAGAGTACACAGCACCAGGGCCTTCATGGTGGAGATGGCTGATCATCTGTACAATCACCTTCTTTATATCCTCCGGTCTCCTGGTGACCTTCAGACTCGTCACCAGATACTTCCCACTCAGCTGTTGACCTCCAGCTTGCAATCAGATAAACGTTCATAACAGTTATCTTAATGTAATCACTCCTACTACAAGAATAGATACATATCTTTCCAGAATCACAAGTGCTAGGGAAACCACAAGCATTTTCAAAGATTACAAGGAGTAAGAAATTTATAGAGCCAAACTATAGGAGATTTGTGTATGGAAGGGTTATGCTTGGATAAACATCTTAAGGCAAAGTTCTGAGGGAAAGCACTTATCAGTTCTATTTGTATTCGTATATTCGATGTTGCCCTGATGCCATAATGTGCGGAGGTATGCGGCTGTGTACGGGTTTCTCTCACACCTTTCCCCCTCCCTCCACACACCCATTCTGTCCCATTCTCCACCTTTCTCATCACTCTTTCCCTATCCCCTGAGTCTTCCCATTTCCTCCCTCCTCTAAAACTTACTCCCCTCTCCTCTCCTGCCCCTCTACCCCCAACCTTCTCTGCCTTTCTCCCCTCACCCTTTTCTCAAACTTCTCACTCCTCTCTTGACCTATATCCTTCCCCCCCTCTCTCACTTCTCCCCCCTCTCCCTCATTCTATCTATTTTCAATTTCCCCTTCGCCATCTCTCTTCTAAATCCCCCTTTTCGTTCTCTTTCTGTCTCTCCCTATCTCTGTCTGTACCTGTGTCTGCCTCTGTGTGCTGTTGTCTGTCTCTGTTCCTGACTCTATATTTGACTGAATGTAAGTCTCTGCTTGTATTTTATTTTCTCATTCTATTCGTCTAATTCTGTCTATCTGTCTGACTGTTTTTTCTCTGAATATTTCTCTCTGTCCCTCTCTCACTCCCTCTTATCAAAGTAATATAATAGTGTACCATTGGCGTGTGGGTGGCCAACTGTGGGAGAAGCCTTTGTGTGAAACATTTTAAAAAATATTTATGAGTTACCCGTTTACTTTTATAAAGGTAGAGGCGAGGGGGGGGGGAGTTGTGGGAAAACGTTTTAAGCTGATGGATTGTCTGTTTTATGCTAGTACAGCCGAAGTATGAATAACAAAAAATTTTAATAAATTTTTCTGAGATCATTGAATAATAGTATGGATATAACTATTATAAAAAATTGTCTTAAAATCTTTGTTTTCAGAATATTTCACCACGTGTAGTCGGTGGGGAGTGCCGAAAGTTGTTGTAGGGGTTAGAATGTGACCCTGACACGTGGTTCCTTCTCGAATTCTGGCAACCCTGACGAACCTGTGTCTGTACCGTGCCCCAAACCATTCCCCCTGCAAAGCTGGAGGAGGCTAGCCCCATCTGTGTCTGACCTGCAACCATCCGTAGACTGACAGACATTCTCTCCTATAAAGTTAAGAAACTTTCCTTATTAAGACTACTCATAGCCCAGTCAGTAGAGCTTCAGTCTCACACACGTGGGGTCCACGGTTCGAGACCCATACAGCCCAGGTGAATGGAATTCTCTCCTATAGATATAGATGATAAGTTTTTCATTATGTGTACTATTCGGTTAAAAAAAAAGTATTTTGCCTTGTTTGACTGGAAACATTGTACCTGGATGGGTTTCTGGCAGTTCTTCTACTTCCCTAGCCCGGCCTGAGACCAGGCCTGACTTGTGAGAGCTTGGTCCAACAAGGTCTTGGAGCGGTCCGCAGGCCCACATATCCACCACAGCCCGGTTGGTCAGGCACTTCTTGAAGAAAATTGGTCATAAATTTTAGACATTGTTACGAGTGATATGCGGGTCATATGAGGGGACCAACATTGTCATGCCCTCTCAGTGATCTTATATAATTGTACTAAATTGATTCTCATTCCTCTCCTTTGAAGAATGAATAAAATTTAATCCTTTTAACGAGCTTCGTCTGAGTTATGACTAACTACCGTCAGCAGTTTTCCTGCTCGACGCTGAGCATCGTCTAATATGGCATGATATCTCTAATAAGGCTCGTAAGATCTCTCAATGAAATTAAATTCTGCTGTTGCTTTACCGCCTCTTTGCGCTACTTAGTTGACTTCAGACCATCTTCAACTCTACTTTCATCAACTTAGTGTTGTTCATGCAGTTTCTTGCTTCAAAATTTGTTTCCAATACATGTATTGCTTCTCATTTTTAAATATTAACATTAATACACAAAGAACTAGCACTAACGGGATTTATACATCAATGAGAAAATCAATGTATAGCCAAAGTATGACTGTTCACGCCCTAACCAATTGATTAATTTATTGCGAAAATCAATTCCAATGTTTTTTTTTCATTAAATTAATCTGCTATGCGTCAAACCAATTTACAAATGTTTCTAGGTTTGTTTCCTATCTCTGTCGCTCTATCAGTGTTGTAACTTTTCTTATTTGTTGTTATCTACAAGTTTAGATATTGTGCTGTATTATCCATTAACGATAACATTAACTTACTTAAAAAAACTGGTCCCGAAACCGACCCTGTGGCGCTTCCCGTGTCACGTCTGGTGGACCTGTTGTATTTTCCTTTAGAACGACACCAGTTTTCCAATCAATTTATTACACGACCATGTAAAGTTTTGAAAGTTTTCTTTGGTGAGGAACTTTATCAAACTCTCGCTGAAAATCCAGAAACATGTCTTCAGTATCTGTCTTCTGCCTTGCTTTCGTTGAACATATTAAAAATATGAATGAAATCAAGACTAATTGTCAGTCACGATCGCTCTTAACTATGCTAAGAATCCCCAATTAGATTATCAGTGTAACTATTATGTTATTATTTCCATAATTTTCCCAGTTGTCAACGTCAAGCTGATGGTTGATAACTCAGCACGTTCTCTCCATTCCAATCCATAAATAACTGGACTGTTTTAGACCTAACCTATAATGTAAAAAAAAAAAAACGCAAATTTGACTGTGGTTTCGCTTGCGTAAAAGAAACTGTAGTGCGTTGAGTAAGAGGACAGGTGGATGTTCTCTTTCAGGCTTCTACATGGAGAAGCCATATGAGGCTTCTACTGGGAGAAGCCATATGAGGCTTCTACTGGGAGAAGCCATATGAGGCTTCTACATGGAGAATCCATATGAGGCTTCTACTGAGAGAAGTCATATGAGGCCTCTACTGGGAGAAGCCATATGAGGCTTCTACTGGGAGAATCCATATGAGGCTTCTACTGGGATAATCCATATGAGGCTTCTACTAGGAGAATCCATATGAGGCTTCTACTGAGAGAATCCATATGAGGCTTCTACTGGGAGAAGCCATATGAGGCTTCCACTGGGAGAAGCCATATGAGGCTTCTACTGTGAGAAGCCATATGAGGCTTCTACTGTGAGAAGCCATATGAGGCTTCTACTGGGAGAAGCCATATGAGGCTTCTACTGTGAGAAGCCATATGAGGCTTCTACTGGGAGAATCCATATGAGGCTTCTACTGTGAGAAGCCATATGAGGCTTCTACTGGGGGAATCCATATGATTCTTCTACTGAGAGAAGCCATATGAGGCTTCTACTGGGAGAAGCCATATGAGGCTTCTACTGGGAGAAACCATATGAGGCTTCTACTGGGAGAAGCCATATGAGGCTTCTACTGGGAGAAGCCATATGAGGCTTCTACATGGAGAAGCCATATGAGGCTTCTACAGGAAGAAGGTCTATGAGACTTCTAAAGGGAGAAGCCTGACTATCCAGGTTATGTATCTTGTGACATTTGCCAGTCTTCACTTTTGTGGAACTGTTCCTGTCTCGATTGGCCTGTTCAAAGTATTGGTCAAAGGTTTCTCAGTTCTCAATTTAAAACATTCTTGACAATTCCTAGAGAAATATGAGACTCCGCTGCTTCATCTGCTATTGGTTAATTTTGCCCTAAGTTCTGTTCAAAAACTATAACAGTGGACAAACTAATACTACTTCCTACTACCACGCGTTAGTAGCGTGGTAGTAGGAAGAGGGATGGTATTTAAGGTTTTCACTGTAATTACTGAAGAAAATCATTTAATATCTTTACCTCATCTTTTTCACTATAAACTGTCTCCATTTGATGCTGATATTGAATCAACAGCAACCGCTGAGTGGAAACTCTTCTCTTTCTCACGTAACTACATAATTTGTAATGGCTTGCTGTTGTTGATTTAGGGGTGACGACGATCGTGGGATCGAATGCGCCCCGGCGTACCCAGTAAGGGTTAATCGCGAAGCCCGGAGAGGTGAAACGCCAAGCCCAATCGTGAAACGAGTGACGCCAATCACTGGAAAATAATATGCCATGTGGCAAAAAACGCAGACAGGCAGATGATTGGGGAGCCCCAGGAGTCCTTCAGGGTGACAAGCACCGGCCCCGCCCCACACAGTGAACACTAGGTAGCAAAACCAAAACTCGGCCCCAACTAAAACGCAAAAGTCATCCAGTGTCCTCCGGCAGAGCAGAAGCCAGCCGCCCACCACGGCTGAGGGTCCGCCAAGACCCGCCAACCAACCTCTCGGCCAAGCCGGCCCCTCGAAAACCGTCACCCCGCCGGGAGAACCAGCCAGTTCACGTAAAAAACAAGATCTATCAACAATCCCGTGACCCAAGGCGATATATGCGCCAGGCGTTGTAAAACCGGACCGTTGAATTGGGATGCCAAACGGCAGTAGCAAAGCTAAAGCTGTAGTCCTCGATCACGGACGGTCTACATGATACGTGGACAATAATTGTTAACTCTTGGAAGCTTTATAAGATATCTGTATAAAGGAATATCTACGTTGGTAAGGCTTATGAGATCTCTAAATAAAAGCATTGTCTGCGTTGGTAAGGCTTATGAGATCTCTATATTCAAGTATTGTCAACGTTGGTAAGGTTTTGTGAGATCTCTATATACAAGGATTTCCAACATTTGCAACATTTAAGATATCTATAAACTTGGACATTCAACATTAACAAGACTTATGAATCATCCACACTTACAAATTGGGAACGTTTGTAACAAGTTATGTTGGCTTTCTACATTTGGATGTAGAGATCGACAAATATAATTGGA